CGTCCAGTGTAAAAGCAAAAGTGTTTTGGTGTATCGTAGTGATTTAGTCTTTTATTTTGCAATTTATTACGAGTAGAAAAAATATTGTGCTGGGTTGGCGTTGGTTTTTATGTAATTTGACAAATAAATAAAGATGTCTCTTTAGTTGTCAGTTTTGAGTCAATATTTTTTAATTCTCTTTCGTGTCGATTGCTGATTGAATTAGAGCCAGAAATGGATCAAAACGAAATAAGTAAATTACCAACAAATATTCAGGCTGAGGCAAGAAACGCCATATTTAAACTACTTCCATTTAAATCCCGAATAACTTATGAAAAGGAATACAAAAATCTTCAAAATGGAAGCAATTAAAAAACGTGCGAGAAGAAAAGTTTTAAACCTATCCTCGCTGTTAAAGTATCATTTTATCTACTATTTTTGATAGATATAAGGCAATTTTAACAGTTGCTAAGGAAAAAAACATTTTTTTTCAAACAACAGCGTTTAAAGTCACACAAATTTGAAAATCTGTCAGGATAATGAATACATTTATTTTTTATTACTTGACCTAGTTAATTCTTTTAATTTTCTCCAATCAAATATTTAAATATTCAACTTTATAAACTTTTCCGAAAAATTTCAATATCCGAGTATCAAAAATTAACAAAGTTTTAAGATCGCCTAACAGAAGAACCGAAACCATCCTGTCTCGGTTTCCTGCACTTTCTCATAAATATCGAATTGTTTAACAGGGAATTGCTTTTAATCTAACCGCCAGATTGTTAATAAATCCCGGGTTACATATTTGAGCGCAAGTGGCTGTGCCATCTGTACGCAAGTTTAATTCTGGAGGTTTCCAAGAAGTAATAGAGACATCTTGATAAGGAGGCAAACAAAGCCGTGGCAATTAATGCCAAAGCGGTCGGGTTAATGAGTTTTAGCTTGGAGCAAACTATAGCAGATACAATCCAATATCTGTTAAGGCACTGTATTATAAATAAATAATAAAGAAGTATTTATTTAATTTTTATCAAAGATTTTCATAATTTGTTCTGCTATGAACACCATTTCTTTATATCACCAGTCTATTTTTACAATCACTCCAATATAAACAATTCTTAATAAGAAATGTCTATATCTCTGTGGCAGATTTATCTCTTCAAAAAAGCCCTAGTTATTTTTTGTAAACACTGCTGAGTTAATTCAACGGAGCCCAAGCTTATCAACAGTGATTTACTAATAAATAAATTAAACGGACATAAAATTGTTTTCGGGAAGAATATCTTTTCCTGTCGATGGAAGCAAAAAAACTATAAAAAAAATATTTAAAATATCTAAATACAACTATTCAAGAACACTTTGACGTTAAGTTTTTTTAACAGAACATCAACGATTTAATGGCGTATCTGTTGAAAAAAAAATAAAGTGTTTTTAGTTTTTTTCTTTGTTTCTTTGTGTTTTTTGCTTCCGACGACGAGAAGAGATATATTTCCCGATCTACTAATGGTGCGTCCAGACCTGAAGGGTCGAGTGCAAGAAGAGCGCGAAACATTCCAAATTTGCGGTGTTTTTCAAAGGGTGGAGGGGTCTCGCAAGAGCCTCGCGACCGTCTCGCGAGACAACCCATGGAGCCTCGTTGCTATCCGTCCCCTGTCGGTTTTTCGACGGCCGATCAAAGAAAGCTCGCGGCCAAGTCTGGACGTGTTTTTGGTAGGCTCGCTTGACTACGAGATATTAGCTCTGATATTAGTGCATTTTGAAATGGAGACTTGGACGGAAAAAGATCAGCGGAAATTTATTGATTTATATAAAGCAAAACCAATATAAAGAATCCAAAAGATAAAAAATATAAAAAAAACAATAAAGACGATGCGTGGGTAGATGTTTCACAATCGATGAATAAAACCTTGGAAAGAATATAAAAGAGAATTATTAAAAAGTGTTTAAGAATTATTAAAAAAATAGAAAAACCGTAGAGAAAGTTAAGATATACATTTTAAAATTATTATAGAGTATACAGGGTGGTTCAAAATAGTGTTACGGATATAACATGGTTTTTTAAATGTAAAACCCTATTTTTTATTTTATTTTTAGATTCTCTATAAAATTTTATAATTTTTTTATGTATAATGCCAGGTATTATATATGTACCTAAAACTGTATACCCCTAAAACTAATAGTTTTTGTAATATTTCAATTTGATTAAACAAAAAATATTAGATTTCAGTGTCGTAAGAAATTGTCAGTCATGCTATTGTTTCTGAAATTGGTGTTCTAAAATTTGTTAGGATAGTTTTATAGGGACGAAGAAAAAGATATAGGTAAAAACATTTGAGTTACATGCTGCAGTGTGTTCAACATATATTTATGAATTTCGACTATTTTCGACTATTTATTTTTACCGTACCGAAATCTAGCATTTCTTTAAACAAATCGAATTATTACAAAATCTATTATTTTAGATATATTGTCAAGACTTAAATAGATGTCAACTTGGGTTTAAATCAAATTGGGAAAAAACACAAATAATATAATTCTAGTAAATAAAATATAATTCGAGTAAACCATTTTGATATAGGCCCAAGAGATCGGTTACCTGCATGACTTCGACCCAGATATGTTTTTAAATAACATTGACAATTAAACACTTAAAATACAACAATCTCGGGTCGATAATCAAACGCAGGCTACCAAAGTTCGATTTCCTCATGGTCATAGCCGGGTGAATGTAATTAGATGAAAACAGATTGAACGACGTAACCGGCGATGACCACGAGGGATAGAGAATATAAAAATGTATGCCGAAGAGAGTCAAGAGGTGAGTCCGTCGATGTGAGTCGCATTATTACGGTCAGTAATTCGCGTTATCAGTCCGTTAGTAGAAGACAACGCAGAGTGAAGATGTTCCTGTAAGCACTTCTTTAAGTAAACCGTTAAGTCTTGGCATTCCCCAAAATTGTTATACACTGTGAACTTTATATCAAATAAATGCATATTTTATCCAATGGTTGTTTTGATTGAGAGAGAGAACCTGGTATAGCGACCCTAGCAAACAACCCCCAGCTAGGTCGCGACAATATAGGTAATATAGGTAAAAATAGGGTACTCCCATTAAAACATACCTATATCCGTAACACTTTAAGTATACTCTACAGTAATTTTCAAATGTGCTTTTTATGTATTTTTAAAAGACGTCGTGTCTCGAAACAAATGAAGGGTAAAAGGAGAAAAAATCGACGATGAATAAAATACGACAAAACAAATATCATGTTAAAGATACAAAAATGTATTACTTATGCGTTATTATTGCTGCAGGTTTTTCATCAGACATGTTTACACAAACCGGTCACCTTTCACTATGATCCAACTCGCTTGTCTTGCTCTCGTCTCGCACTCGTCTTGCTCTTGCCTCGCTCTTGTCTCGCTTTGTCTCGCGCTCGTCTCGCACTCGACTCAGGTCTGGACGCACCATAAGAAACTGCATTATAAGGAAATAATAAATAAATGTTTTTTTTAATTTTTTTACCAAAGATTTTCATAATTTGTTCTGTTAGGATACCTATTTCATAATATCACACTACATATATATATTTTTACAATCATTCGAATATACACAATTCTTAATAAGCTAATGAGTTTAATAGTCTAAATAAGTTAATAAGTTTTAGCTTGAAGCAAAACTAAAGCAGATACAATCCAATATCTGCCAACGTACTACTTTATAAATAGATAATACACTTACCGGCTGCGCTGCGTCTCGAAAGTGGCTTTTTGAGAGCGAAATTTGATATTTTAGTATATAACATAAATTAGGATTGGTTGACGTATTCAATTGTTCTTGGTCACTTTTTGTTTCATTGAAAATTACTAAAATACTAGAAATTTTGATTTTTAAATAACACCTTTGGTATATTTTTAATTTATTCGATAGAAAATTACACTCTCAATAGAATGACATATTATATGTCAACTTTTGACATTCTCGCTTAAAAAATAATATTTTAAATTTCAATCTAGAGTGCCATGACTGGGAGCCTTGAAAAAGTACATTTGATCATCTAATGTTTTTCGTGTCTTGTCCTAGCCGGTTAAAAGATGTCCAAATCGTATTTTTAATCATATCTCAATTTTTTCAAATGGAACAAGGGTAGCTCATTTGAATATTGGGAAAAAGTGTTTACATTTCTTTGCCAATAATTTGGTACCACACACTTGGTATTTCGAGTCAAATTTTTGTTACGAACCGCGTGTTACAAAGTCAAATAAACCATATGCGAAAATGGCAAAAGTTGATATATGATATGTCATTCTACTCAGAGTGTCATTTTCTATCGGTTAAAGTAAAAAATACCGATGGTGCAATTTATAAATCAAAAGTTGTAGTAATTTCCGGTGAAACAGGAAGTGACAAAAACAATTATGTCAAATAATCCTAATTTATGTCATATACCAACATACCAAATCTCGTTTTTTACCTTAAAGGATAGAAAAAGTTATAGGGGTGAGTCACTTTTGAATTTTTTTACGCACCTGGTATTTATGTCATTTTTTAACAAAGATTTTCATAATTTGTTCTGCTGATAAATGATATACCAATATAAACAATTCTTAATAAATTAATGAGTTTAATAGTCTTAATGAGTTAATGAGTTTCAGCTTAAAGTAAAAGTATAGCAGATACAATCCATAGTATATCCAATATGTAATCCATAATCCAATTTTCATAGTTAGTTCTGCTATGATATCCATTTCTTAATATCACCACTATATTTTTACAATTACTCCAATATAAGCAATTTTACTGGATGTACAGCGTGCTGTCGATCTCCTCTGTTTGAGTCAGCATTGAGTCAAATGATACATGATATAAAACATAAAAACTTTTATGTATAAATATTAGGATAGCATTATACTCCTTCTTTATTTTTTTTATTCAAAATCATTACCAAAAATAACCTAAAAATTAGAAATTATTTTATGAAGGTATTTTATTAACGGACTTATATCTTTGATTGTTTAAGGTTTCTTGAGGACAAAATCCAGTGCCGATCCGAACAGTGCAGACAGTGGTAACCTTGGTGTAAAAGACGTCACAGCGGCATTACAGTGGGTTAAAATAAATATTGGAGCATTTGGAGGGGATCCTACTAGGGTCACTTTAGTTGGGCACGACACCGGTGCTGGCATAGCTAATTTACTATTTTTGTCTCCAACATCTAAAGGTAATGTTTGATTTAATTATGTATTACTTGTTATAACTAAGTTGTACCGGGTGGCCAACTAAGAATGGACGCCGGCTGTATCTCAGAAACTACTTTTCGTATAACTTTGGGAAAAAAATTCTAATAAGTAAATCGACCAAGAGGAATGACTGTAAATTATTTTCAAGTTCGAAAAATGTCCGCTAAGGGGTGCTTCTCTGATAGCCAATCAGAAAACAATTTTTTTTTCAAAAATATGCAGGTGAAGAAGTATTTTAAATATATATATAAATTCGGGTCAGAACGTCCTACGACGTTGTCCGATGCCTAACTTCCACCGTGTGCGATTTTCCCATTGATCTTCGGTCAAATTTTTCTCGCTCATCGACCTTCTTATTCCTTCCATTCATGTTTTCTTGGGACGTCCTCTTTTTCGTTTACCAGGTTGTATCCAATGAATGACTTGTTTTGGAATTCTTTCATTGTGCATTCTCTGAACGTGGCCGTACCATATTAATTGTTTTTGTTCTATATCATTTACTATTGTTCCCTCTATTCCCATCTGTTGTCTAATGTCTTCATTTCTGATCTTATCCCTCCGTGAAATTCTCATTGCTCTTCTAATTGCGTCCATTTCTGTTGTCTCTAATTTCCTTTTATTCCTTTCAGTGAGTCGCCATGTTTCACAGTTTCGCATCCATAGAGTAATATGCTTTTAACTAGTGTCTCGTATATATTATATTTCCTGTTTTTTGTAATTTCAGTGCTCCATAGAATGCCATTTATGCATCTGATAACTCTTCGTGCCTGTATTACTCTGTTGTTTATTTCTCTATCGTCCGTTCCATCTCCTGTAAATATCGATCATACCTGTAATCTTTAATTTTTTAATTTTAATTTTAAATATTACTATTATAAACATCGAGAAATTTGTATTTTTTTTAATATAGAGTTTGCAATTTTTTTATTATTTTGCTCTTCCTCATAAAATAAAGTGGCGGGGGAAGGTTAAACTTGTTTTTATTAAAATAGGGATAACTCTGGTTTGGGTTACCCGATTTAAACAAACTAGGGCTCGTTTAAAGTAGCTTTTCTTCCTTAATGATTCCCAGTATAAATTTTGCCCGAAATTCGGATGCATGTAAACTGAACTTAAACGTTTTGATATTTTGACGTACCCAATATACCTCTTTGTGTTTCCTAGCCTACTACTATAGTTTTTAGACATAATTTGTTCTCTTAATATCTCTGGTTAGAGAGAAGGTAGAAAGTTCCAGTTTGCGCCGATATTTTGGAAATTTTGTGCTCTATTTAACTGTGTAAAAAGAAATATAGCCTCCTATTTAATTTTTTTATGCAAAAGCGCAATATCTGTTATGATGTCAAATAGCGCCCTCTAGCTACCACGAAAAAAAATATGGAAACGAAATTTATACTGGGGATCATTAAGGAAGAAAAGCTCTTTTAAACGAGCCCTAGTTTGTTTAAATCGGGTAACCCTAACCAGAGTTATCCTTATTTTAATAAAAGCAAGTTTAACCTTCCCCCACCGCTTCTTTTATGAGATAGAGCAAAAAACTCTATATCAAAAAAAATACAAATTTCTCGATGATTCTAATAGTAATATTTAAAATACCTGTTCACCAGCATATTTTTGAGAAAACCCCTATTTTCTGATTGGCTATCAGAGAAGCACCCTCTAGCGGACATTTTTCGAACTTGAAAACAATTTCCAGTGATCTCTCTTGGTCGATTTACTTATTAGAATTCTTTTTTCAACGTTATCCGATAAGTAGTTTCTGAGATACAGCCGGCGTCCATTCTTAGTTGGCCACCCAGTACGCATCTTTTAATAGGGATAGGTTAGGGAGAAAATATCAGCGAAGAACACAATCTTGAATGAGTCTTTTCAATATTGCTATCTTTTTAATATTTAAATTTAAGAATAAATTGCTCTTTTCTTAAAACTGCCGAAAGCGTAATTGAAGGATACCAACTACAAAGAAATCAATTTAAGTTTTAATATTCATTGTTTATGAAAAGTTTAGCGAATATTAAAAGCGAATTAGTGCCTGCATTTAAATTGGAAAATTAGTTTTACAAAAGTTTTGGTATTTATTCTTTTGCGAGAAGAACAATAAGTACATGACTAGAATTCGATTTTACCTTATTAAACTGAGAGATGCAATTAACTGGTCGAGAATGCCTTGCTTAAAACTTATAGTTGAAGGAATGTTCGGAGAATCATTTGTTTTTCTTCTAAAAGAGAAAATATGACACAGTATTTACACTATATGGGTATTATTACAAATTACATTATATGGGTATTTCGCCACTGCAAGAAAATCTACAAAATAAAATAGTAATTTTTTGTACTTCTGTGTTAACCCAAACGGAAACCAATTGTCAGAAGTAAGGTTTATAGTATAGCTTTTCAATAACATCTATGACACCGGTCATATCCCTGAAGACTGGCTTCGTTCTACGTTTATCACGTTGCCCAAGTCAAGTAACGCAACTTCGTGTAAAGAGTATCGTCTTATTAGTCTAACGAGCCACTTTCTTAAGCTCTTTTTACGGGTACTGCATACAAGACTCTACAAAAAATGTGAGGAATTAAGCGGAGAAAGTCAATTTGGATTTAAGAACGGCTTTGGTACTAGAGAAGCCATATTCAGTCTTCAAACTTTAGTACAGAATTGCCAAGATCAGAGAAAAGATGTCTTCATGTGCTTTATAGACTATGAAAAGGCGTTCGATAACGTTAAACATAACCTCCTTATATCATACCACAGAGACTTGGGACTTGATGGAAAAGATATAAGGCTCATCAGTAATTTGTATTGGAACCAAAAAACTGAAATTCATATACATAGCGTGAGAGTAACAGAAGATTTTGAAATAAAAAAGGGGGTAAGGCAAGGGTATGTATTCTATCTCCAATGTTGTTCAATGTGGAAAGAGCATTCACTGAGTCAATCTCCGATAGTCCCATTGGTTTGAAAATAAATGGTATTCCAATTAATAATAATAATATCCGATATGTGGATCACACAGTGATATTGGCAGACAATGCAAATGATCTCCAAATCCTTCTAAATAAGGTTAACAGTGAAAGTCAAAGACTGGGTTTAAACATAAATACTACAAAAACTAAATTTATGGCTGTTAGCAGAAACAATATTCCGAACACTAGAATTTACTTAAATGGATAGGTCATCAAGCAGGTCAAACAATTTAAATATTTGGGATGCATGGTTAACGAAACGTGGGATTCGGATCAGGAGATCAAGTGCAGGATCGAACAAGCAAGATCTACTTTTCTGAGACTGCGAAGATTTCTCACAGATAGGAATTTGAACTTCGGCCTTAGATACAGAATGGTGAACTGCTATGTCTGGTCCGTTTTGTTATATGGTGTGGAAGCATGGACACTGAAGGTAGCAACAATAAACCGAATTGAAGCCTTCGTAATGTGGACCCTACGACGAATGCTAAGAGTGCCCTGGGTCGACCGTGTTAGGAATGAAGACATTCTCAGAAGAGCTGGTCTGGAACAACGTGAACTCTTCGAAATCATCAAGAAGAGGAAAATAGCCTATTTGGGACACATACTACGTGGAGAACGCTATCACTTTCAGCGTGTGATTCTCCAGGGTAAAATAGAGGGGGGAAAAAGGGGATAGGACGAAGGAAGCTATCCTGGCTGAGAAATATTCGTCATTGGACAGGCATACAGGACTTCCAATCACTCCAAGTCGCGGCAGTTAACAGAACCATCTGATGAGGAAGAAAAAGATGAACGCCTACGCAGGAATCTGCACGGCACCTTAATAAGAAGGTTTACAGATATACAAATTTGCCTAACGAACTGTAACGTTTTTAGTTCGTTACATGTCTTTTTTATATATAATATATGATGTCTGGCCTATCATCACCGGATTCCCTCTCGTTCAGGCCTGATAGTTTATTTGACGCGCTTGGCGTAATTTTTACGTTCTCTAGTCAGCAACTCTGCTATCGTTTCACTGTTTTGTGGAGGCGCGCGCTGTCTAGATCCTTTCAAGGCGCCTCTCTGCGTTTTAACCTCACTTTGTTTTTGGCCGATTTGCGGCACGGTTGCAAATCCTGCTATTAGAAATGGCAATTTAAATCTTGCTGCAAAATCTGAATCAGCTGCCATTTCGAAGCTACAATTAAAGATGAGTTATTATCTTTTATAGATTCGATATTATTATTGAATTTTTAGGGTAGAGGTTTGAATTGACCCACCTTAACTCGTATTTGTATTTTGCTGACACGTTGGTGTACTTTTGCTGTTGTCCTCCAGAATGTTAAATGGAAGAAAGGACAGTTCTTTATTATTGAGCCCTCGGAAGTGTTTCGAGGTAGGTTTATTTTGTTTATTAGACCTTGTTTCGTTTTTTAGACAAGAGTTTCGTATTTTTAGGGTCTTATGGACGGACTGTGTCCAAGGTTATAGTCCTAGGTTATGGTCCAAGGTACGGGTAGTTTTCCCTTGTAGCATTATCCTATGTACGGATATCCTGTGGACGAGTGTCCCCAGTAGGAATGATTTTTCTTACATATAAAGTGCCCCAGCGTGGATGTAGCTTGAGCCCCATGCTGCTTCGTTCCCATCTATAAGCTAGTTAGTAGTTACGGCGGTATCAATTCATGGTGTCCTCATTCTGGCCCCCTTCTGTTGTATTGGATCGCCGAGTACAGAGATGCGAGCCCACCTCACGATGTTACTGTTTGAAGCAAGATTACATAAAGAACAGCTAAGTGTAGATTTAAGTTCTAGTTTTACATTTAACATCTAAAATATTTTCAGTCTTAAACAATAACGTACATCTTAAGTAATATCGTACAGACTATGTTTAGTGGTTAGATTGTTAAGAACATTCATGTCGATTTAATATTTAAAATATAATTTAGATCTTAGGTTTCATTAGTCGTATTACTTTTATAGATATTATTATTGCACTATTTTAACAGATGAATAACCAAACATAGATTCTAGAATCTACGGGTTGCAACATCTTCGATTTAACATCATATAAAATATATCAAATTAATTAAAGTAATGCTACATTTCATATATTCTCTTAAACTTTACATGCCTTGTATTTTATCGTAGTTGTTTTCATTGATATTTAGTACAACTCTTACCACCACTTTCTTTGACATATAACCGCTATATATTTACTAGAACTCTAAAGTGTCATGTACCAGCAAAGAACATCATGAATAAATATAGTCATTAGTTTTAAGTAATATACAACTGTGTTTTCTTTCTCTGTACATGCCTGGCGCCCAATATCTATATTTTTTTGTTTATTGTTATTGATTAGTTTTCTCTCTAGTGAAATACCTTATCCATGACTGCTCTCCGATGAAAAGCTGCCGTTCGCAGTGGTAATGTTTTATAAAAAACGCTACAGAACAAAAAAGTGCTTAACGTTTCGGAAAGTTTGTTCTCTAAGCTCTTTCCGTCGTTGGAAGCAAAAAAATACAAAGAATAAAGAAAAAAAACTATTTAAAATATTTAAACTCAACTATTCGAGAACACTTTAGTTTTTTAAAACAGATACATACGTCTACAAAAACCGTTGACGTTCTGTTAAAATGACATTATATCAAGTTAATCTTCAAAATTAACAATTACTTAATAAGGTAAAACCAAAAAAACCCAAACTTTCTGTATGTTTATTTTTAATTTTTACTATGTTATGTTTTTTAAAATCATAGAAGCGATTGCCATACATTACTAACATTTACAGATGCATGAGCAATACATTTATTTTTATTAGATTGTATTAAAAATTTCTCTTATATTTTTCTCTTAGAGGCTATCGCTTCTTTCATTATAATTTTGGCGTTATTAAAATTTATTCTGTGCCCTATGTCCCATCAATGCTCACAAATCTTAGATTTGTGAAAATCTCCCTTTCTTAAATAATCTTTATGTTGTTTAATTTTTTTTCTTGCAGTGGCGAAATACCAATATAGGATTTTTTTGGAGAGATTACTTATTATTATTAAAAGTTAATACAACTCAAGTTACATTTGTTAATACTACAATAATAATTTTTATATCAAAGACGCCTATTTATCAAAAAATACAGCTTACTAAAAGCGTCTTTTATTTTCGAATAATAAATAATAACCCTCTCACGTTTAAAAGGGTCTTTCCAAAGGGAAAACCGTCCGAATTGCACTTAATCCTTTGTTCGGAATCGATTTATCCAGAAGGTTTGGGACAAATCGTCGGAATAAATTAACACTGATAACTGGCAGCCATAACCAGGTAAAACGGCCAGGTGAGCCTGGCACGTCTTAGCTGTTTAATCAATTATTTACAGCTCCCTTTTGCTTTGGTCTCCTTATTTCTTCGACAATACAGGGTGGCTCTCATACGTCGCGGAGGCTCCAAGGAGAACGACAGTTTGTATTGAAATGAAATTTTGTGAACATATGTAGGTTAATTCAGAGCACTTTTTAAAAATATAGAGAGGTCTACAGGGTGTCCCCAAAAAAAGTTACATATCAAATTTGTGTTTTTTGTAATAGAACACCCTATATATTAATTGATTTTCGGCTTCTGGAAGAAAAATAAAGGTGAGTTTTATAAGAGAAGTATATGACTAAAATGTAAGGTTTTTGACATATTTAACATTTTCTAGAAATAAAGAACAATTTTTAAATTACAATAAAAGCTACCTAAATTGGAATTTACCCGGTATAGCCTAATATGTAGTTAAGTTAACTATTGTACTTTAAATCAAATTGAAACTTGATCCAAAAAGTTATACAGGGTGAGACAAAATTAATATTGAACATTGGTCACATTTAAAAACATGTTACTCTTTTATTTTAAATAGAACACCCAGTGTATTATTCCAATATTGAATGAACAGATATTTTCATTTACATGATTTGATCTGAGTAGATCTTTATTATTTGATATATCTGTTACTTCAACATAGCTGTCTAATTAGTCCAACTTTAACAACTAGTTATGATTTTGTGTCAGTTAAATCAATTCTGATAAAACAATCATTTCTTTTTCGATCATACGGTATAAACACTGTTTGAGCCTTTATGGTTTCTGTGATTATATTTTTTGTGTTTTATATTTTCAGATGTCTGTATATTAATAAATTGAAATAAAGATTATTATTATTATAATTTTCAGGGCTTTTCCGGAGAATAATATTACTAAGCGGATCTGCATTGAGTCCCTGGGCCACCGCCCATAACGCTGACAGTTTGCGGTTGACCGTCGGTAAACAAATGGGTTGTTTGCCCCAAGATTCTAAAGGAGACGATAGGGAGGATATAGCGGCTTGCCTAAGATCAAGGTTAGTATTTATTACAGATGTAACGAATTTTTTAATACATGATTTATCTATGTATACAATACAATATAAATGGATGAGGCGGCGAGTGTTCTCTGAAAGCACTAGAGTAATATGCGACTTTTAAAATAAATAAATATGACATTTCATCAATCGGCATGCATGTATCCCATATTTTTTTTTTTCATTCTTTAAATTTCATTTTTTAATAATTTTCGAGATAATTTTTAAAATTTCACCAGAAAAATGTCTGCCAACAATTTTCCACGTTCCTTAATAATAAATAAAAGTTATTTTCGCAATTATAACTTGTGTACCATATAATATTTTTATTGTCCAAATTTCACCCTTTCGATTGGCCGCCCCCGTTTTAAGCCCCGGGATCGCGCTGGCAGACATGACTACTTCATAAATAGCTACACAAAAGGATATTTCACACAAAAAATTAGCTATGTAACGATGATAAGGTTTTTCATGTAGCCAGCTCTTAGACTATTATAGCTTGATACTGATTTGACCAATAGCAAAAATGAATTCAAGCAGTTCGAGGAAAAAAGTCAGTAAATAAAGTGCTCGTTACATAATCAAAAAATTAAATAGACATATACTATGAGACGTTAAAATAATTTGCAATATTAATGGTATACTTTTTTAATCAACTATTGATTAAATGTTTTATGAACATATTCTAAAATTATAATTATGTACTTTTAAAAATTTTTGTTATAGCCGAAATAGCCCCAATTATGCCCCACTAGTAGAACCGGTGATTAAAACTATGCTCGCTGCCGTAGTTGAACTCTTCTAAAAGGTTTTTTTTTAACTAGAATAATAAATTATAATACAAGTTAAATATCAACATATTTACTTTCTTGTTTTTATTTTTAGAATTTTTACAAATTATACTTTTTAATAAATTGTACTGAAGCTGTGGTTGGTTCCTTGTGAAACATCGTTGAAATATTAGTATTTTAATAAAGCACGCTTTTAGATGTATCAAAAAACTTTTAATAAGAGTAACTTTAACTCTACATATACGTTTCGACTTGTTAGGCCTTTTTCAAGAGTTTTTTAAGAACTAATCGTCTAACTACACTGTAACTATATATATATATATATATATATATATATATATATATATATATATATATATATATATATATATATATATATATATATATATATATATATATATATATATATATATATATATATATATATATATATATATATATATATATATATATATATATATATATATTTGCTATGGGGGTGGGTTCAGAAAGTTTACAATAGGGGTAATAAAAATGTGTTTAGAAATCCTTGTTGGTCGTTAACATTATTTTCGTTTTTAACAGATTTTAGTATTTCTAACTGTTCAATGTAATTTAAGCGTCTACCTTTTGTTTCTCTGTGTAGTAACTTAATTGAGTTTTCATTAATTTTGTGATTATTTAATATACAATGAGTTGCAAGACCAGAACTATGCTGAAATGAAGAAAAATATCATACAGTCTATAACCAAGAAAATAAATGATAACAATTTAATAATTACAAAAGCCGATAAGGGTAACACTATAACAATTCTTACAAAAACAGAATATGATAAGAAAATAGCTGATATTTTAAATAGTGGAGATTTTAGTAAAATTTCTGATCCAACATGTAATTTTCAAAAACAAATTCTTTCTATTTTAAAAATAACAAATCTATATTACCTAATAACAATGAATACTATGCCAAAATAATGAATCCTTCACCCCCATTACTCTATGGTTTACTAAAATTACATAAAGACAATAATCCAGTTAGACCAGTCGTCTCGTACATAAATGCTCCCTCTTATAAATTATGTCAAATACTAGCTAAAACACTTCCTTCCATGATCAATTTTCAATCAAAATTTGCCATAAAGAATTCTTTTGAGTTGCTAGATAATTTGAAAAATATTGAAGTTCCACATAATGCAACACTCGTTTCTTTCGATGTCAAAAGCCTGTTCACTTCTATCCCAACCCATGAATTGTCCTCTATTATTTATGAACTAATTGATAAATCTAATCTTAATATAATAGTAAAATCAGATTTAATAACAATAATTGAAACTTGTTTAGAACAAAACTATTTTCAGTATAACAATGAAATATTTAAACAGAAAGATGGGTTACCGATGGGTTCCCCAATTTCACCGTTATTCGCAGAAATATTTATGGCAGATTTTGAAAAGAAGCTATTTAAAAACAAGAGTAGTTTAATATCAAAAATAAATTATTGGGCAAGATATGTAGATGACATTTTTTGTATTTGGTCAGCACCGAGAGAAATTTAAACAGTTTTTAACATTATTAGGTTTGAGTCATCATATTTTCAGTCAGCTGCTGAGAGAGCTGTACATAGAGATTTCATTAATCAAGATCACTCAATTGTCGGTATTTCTTGTTATTTTTCTTTGTAACAAAAGCAGTTCGATAGGAAACAAATTTAAACCAATTTCATTATTTACCAAGAGTAGCGTCATATAAAATACCATTAGCGAGGACCAATTTAAAACCTTTTAAATTTTTAATGCTATCGATATTAGTCACTGGAATGGAAGAGGACCGTTTCTTACGTTTTTATTGGTCCGTTTAGCAGTGCCCGTTTCGTAAATTAAATTTAGAAAAAAAGTGAGACAAAACAACACAATTGCTTCTCTGCAATGGCGCAGTGAACGATTTTAACGCTCCATTATTTCATTACATTTTTTACGAGTTTTATCAGGTATATGGCATAGGATTGTTTTTACTTACAGTTTAAAGTTTTTTTTTCTCTAATTAATCTAGGAACATATAGTTCATACCAAATAAACTTTTAGTCACGTGGTTAAGCTTGACCGGCACGGCGTTGTCCACTTTTACATATTTTTTGTTAATCAAAATATTTTAGAAAACAAAAATAAATGATTATGAATATATAAACAGTTATTATTTGCATCAACAAAACTCACCTCCTTAACAGCACTTAAGGGGCATATTTAACGCGATTTTTCCTACTTTTCAGGAGAGCAATTTAAAGAAAATCACTTACTTTATTCGGCCAATAAATGTTAAGTCTAATTTTTTAATAGGTTTTTTTTATTAACGCTTAAAAGGAGACAGTAGGTAACGTTCTAAAAATAAATTCAGCGTAAATTCTAATTAATAATTTATTTTTAGTTGTTTAATTCAAATTCAAATTCAAATTTCTTTATTAGACCCCATTAAGTTTTACAGAATAATATTAGTATTAATAAATGTGTGTCTAAAGGGATCGCACCGCGATTAAAAAACCGATACAATGGCACAAAGTGCCAGAGTGGTGCGACCCCAAATACAAAATAGAAATAAATTAAGTTATAGAAATAAACAAAATTAAAAAAAATAAAATTATATAAAAAAAGTGAAAATATAATTTTATCAGGGATGAGCGGAGATAAGCACAGAGGCATAATGAAACAATGTAAAAACCGGAACAGCAACCAATGACGGGCATATCAGAAGAACAAGATCTCACAAATCAGTCGAAGAAATTATAATATTTACGAATTTAGTAAATGATTTTTAATTTGTTTTTTATAATCTGTAAGGATTGAAATTTAAAGTTATTAGAAATATTATTCCACAAATGTGGCGCCATGAAACTGAAAGATTTTTGGAAGTTAGCTGTTCGGTGTTGAGGAATTTTAAAGTAATGCACTTGTCTAGTCGAATGATCATGGTCAACGTAGTGAAACAATGAGAACAAATAGGGAAGCTGCTCTGTAGTTAAAATTCGATAAATGAATGTCATTAAATGAAATTGTCGTCTGTTAGTCATGGATAAAATAGATAAATTTTTAAGATGTGGCGTTATATGATCTCTAAAAGGAATGTTAAAAGAAAACCGTAGACACGAGTTTTGAAGTATTTGGATTTTTCTAGAGAATCTAGCGTTTATGGATGTACCATAAACAACATCGCCATAATCAAATAAAGATAAAATAAGTGTGTCACATAATTGATACTTAGTCTTTGATGGTATATATTTCTTAAGAGACGAAAAATTCTTCAACCGTATATAAGCAGCCTTTAATTTAGTAGTTATATGTGCCTGAAAAGAAAGCTTCGCATCAAAATAGACTCCAAGATTTTTAGTCTCTGTAACAATGGGTATCGCAACATTATCTATATGGATATTCATGTTACCAGCCGTATTTGTAATTTTGTTTATATCACTACCAAATACTATAACACAAGATTTACCGGCATTTAATTTCAAATTATGATCCAGAGCATATTTATTAATTTTATTAAGATCGTCGTTAAAATTTAACTAAATTGTGCCAAATTATTAGTATCTATTCTGCAATAAATTTGAGAATCATCTGCATATTGCTGCAATTCAGAAAACTGTAATTCCTTATTCATATCAGCTACATATAACGAAAATAAAAGTGGCCCCAGAATAGATCCCTGAGGAACCCCAGAAATCATAGGAATATAACTAGATTTTTGTTTTAAACTTCCCCGTTTCATGACAACACAATGTGATCTATCTTTTAAAAGGTTTTTTTATCAATTCTAAAGAGCCGTCTGAAAATCCAAAATACTGTAATTTTGCTAGGAGCAATGAAGGTCTAGAGTATCAAATGCTTTACTAAAGTCTGTAAGCTAAGACACGTCATATTTTTATTTTCTTGATTTGTTCTAATATCATTAACCAGCTTCAGTAAACAAGTGGTAGTGCTGTAGTTCTTACGAAAACTAATAGAGATAGGCATTTTTTTTAATATAATAAGTAAAATAAATTTAAAAATGATGGTAAAGTGTTAATAAGGAAAAAAGTAATAAAATATTCACTTTAGATACATACAAGAAAAAATCTAGAAATCATCAAAAAATCAGAAACAATTTTTTAAACACTTTTATTGGCGTTGAATTAAATCAACGAAAAACAAAGACAATGTTTATTTTAGAAGCAAAGTCAACAATAAAAATACATTTTTT